GCTAAGCTAAAGGCGGCTAATGTTGGGCTATAAAGGAACTACAGCACGGTCACATGACTTCACGTCACCACCGCTAAGCTAAAGGCGGCTAATGTTGGGCTATAAAGGAACTACAGCACGGTCACATGACTTCACGTCACCACCGCTAAGCTAAAGGCGGCTAATGTTGGGCTATAAAGGAACTACAGCACGGTCACATGACTTCACGTCACCACCGCTAAGCTAAAGGCGGCTAATATTGGGCTATAAAGGAACTACAGCACGGTCACATGACTTCACGTGCAATTCACTTGTTTTCTCATACCTTAAGAACACCTTAACATAAATATAAGCATTGTAATCTCAAAATGTACATTCATGTATTTGTTCTTTGACTTAAGTAAAGGTTATAAACACTTCTTCCTGTACTCCATTCCCCTATGGTAACACCACCTCCATATACCTGCTCCAAATGACATTTCTCTATAATTTGAAGCTCTGTGTCGCACCTTTTCAGCTCCCTTAGGAAATCAGTCTGTGGAAAATCCCAAAATGATTCCCAAATCAGCTAATGAGGTTATTTTCTAGCCAGTGAGTCGAGCAAACAAAGATGGAGGGGGTCCGGTATATCGTGTGGTCGCAGCAGGATGGAGGATGGTAAAAGCTGCCGTGATGCATCCTGACAGCAGCACAGAATTGGCCATGAGCACAAACTGCATTATGTAACCAGCCTCCATTGTTCCCGCCCTGTCAGTGTCATTCAAATCCATGAGAATCACACAAAATCACGCTTGAACCCTTGTTTGCTGAAGTCAGAAAGTGGACACCTTAGTTTAAAGAGTGATAACAGATCTGAGAGAGCCAGTATTTAGTTTTCATAAGAAAGGCAGAGGTGGGAAGTAGTGGAGTACAAATACTTCGTTACTGTACTTAAGTACATGTTTCTGGTATCAGTACTTTACTCCACTACTTATTTTTCTGACGACTTTTACTTTGACTTCTTACACTTTGAACACAAATACCTGTACTTTCTACTTCTTACATGTTGAACCCAAATACCTGTACTTTCTACTTCTTACATTTTGAACCCAAATACCTGTACTTTCTACTTCTTACATGTTGAACACAAATACCTGTACTTTCTACTTCTTACATTTTGAACCCAAATACCTGTACTTTCTACTTCTTACATGTTGAACACAAATACCTGTACTTTCTACTTCTTACATGTTGAACCCAAATACCTGTACTTTCTACTTCTTACATGTTGAACCCAAATACCTGTACTTTCTACTTCTTACATGTTGAACACAAATACCTGTACTTTCTACTTCTTACATGTTGAACCCAAATACCTGTACTTTCTACTTCTTACATGTTGAACACAAATACCTGTACTTTCTACTTCTTACATTTTGAACACAAATACCTGAACTTTCTACTTCTTACATTTTGAACACAAATACCTGTACTTTCTACTTCTTACATTTTGAACACAAATACCTGTACTTTCTACTTCTTACATGTTGAACCCAAATACCTGTACTTTCTACTTCTTACATGTTGAACACAAATACCTGTACTTTCTACTTCTTACATGTTGAACCCAAATACCTGTACTTTCTACTTCTTACATGTTGAACACAAATACCTGTACTTTCTACTTCTTACATGTTGAACACAAATACCTGTACTTTCTACTTCTTACATGTTGAACACAAATACCTGTACTTTCTACTTCTCTCATTTCCCAAACAGGCTGGTTCCTTTAGTTTGAATGTGTGTCTGGTGGCGTGATCATTATTATTTAGAGTCATTGCGTGCCTATTGATTTGAACACGATCCGTGTATCCATCATTTCCTGGTCTTCTCTAAAGAAGAAGGACCAATGAAAACGTTGTCATGTTGCCGTTGTTCAGCATGGAAACATTCATTAGCTAACAATGACATTATTGTTCTATTAATATAAAGGGAGGTCAGGTACTCTTTAAAACAGCTGCTAGTTATGGGTACTTTTTACTGAAGTACATTTCAAAGCCCTCTTTACTTTCACTTGAGTAAAGAAGTTTAGTCCGTACTTCTACTTTTACCAGAGTATTTTTAAACACGAGTATCTGTACTTCTACTTGGGGAAAGGATGTGTGTACTTTTGCCATCTCTGGAGAAAGGCCACCTAATCGTGACGTCTGTAGTCAACACACTATAAAAGACTACAATTCCCACGGCGCCTCCTCTAAAGTGACAGTGATGAAAGACGCCGTCGAGACACCGTTTTTAACCGTTTAATTACCCTTTAAGGTATCAAGTTATATAAGCCTTAACATAGAAAGAAAGCAAGAAAGAATACCTAAGTTGTTTATTTGAGTTTTGCCTCTTTGTTTTGATTATTGTAAAGGCCTCTTTACTTTGTTGCATGTGTGAAAAGTTTGTTATTTTATTTGGAGCATTGCATAATATCATCCAAACCATCGGAGGCCAAGCAACTCTTCAACTGTAAGAAAATGAGTTTAAACTGTCTGTCTAAGGCGTCTAGTGGCTTGATAGAAAAACAAGGAAGGAAGCCACGAGAAGATCAAACCAACACGTTTCTGCACTCTTCCTCCTGTTCCTGATATTTCTGCTCTCACAAAGATGATGGAAGGAGGTTTTATTTATAGTCGTACGTCTGACAAGAGATCAGGCTTTGGGACTTTGAGATCTCTGGTTTCTTCAGAGCATCAGTTCACACTTACGTCTTTGTCTCGTCACACGATGATCATGAAGTGTTGGAGTTAAATTTAAACAGTAATTTTCTCATTTAAAAACATGTGATTTGACTCGAGGTGACAGGGAGGCTAAAAACAGGTCAGCGTTTCACAAATGAGAAAAAACCTGTTGAGGAAATAATAGTGATGACATATTTAACATCTTAAAAAGGCCCTTTTACACTCATTTGATTGGTTGATGTTCAGGTGTATCTCAGTATGTAGTGTCTCTACTTTAAAGAGTCCTCTCCTGTTGATGTTCAAGTGTATATCAGTATGTAGTGTCTCTACTTTAAAGAGTCCTCTCCTGCTGATGTTCAGGTGTATATCAGTATGTAGTGTCTCTACTTTAAAGAGTCCTCTCCTGTTGATGTTCAAGTGTATATCAGTATGTAGTGTCTCTACTTTAAAGAGTCCTCTCCTGCTGATGTTCAGGTGTATATCAGTATGTAGTGTCTCTACTTTAAAGAGTCCTCTCCTGCTGATGTTCAGGTGTATATCAGTATGTAGTGTCTCTACTTTAAAGAGTCCTCTCCTGCTGATGTTCAGGTGTATATCAGTATGTAGTGTCTCTACTTTAAAGAGTCCTCTCCTGCTGATGTTCAGGTGTATATCAGTATGTAGTGTCTCTACTTTAAAGAGTCCTCTCCTGTTGATGTTCAGGTGTATATCAGTATGTAGTGACTCTACTTTAAAGAGTCCTCTCCTGCTGATGTTCAGGTGTATATCAGTATGTAGTGTCTCTACTTTAAAGAGTCCTCTCCTGCTGATGTTCAGGTGTATATCAGTATGTAGTGTCTCTACTTTAAAGAGTCCTCTCCTGCTGATGTTCAGGTGTATATCAGTATGTAGTGTCTCTACTTTAAAGAGTCCTCTCCTGCTGATGTTCAGGTGTTTATCAGTATGTAGTGTCTCTACTTTAAAGAGTCCTCTCCTGCTGATGTTCAGGTGTATATCAGTATGTAGTGTCTCTACTTTAAAGAGTCCTCTCCTGCTGATGTTCAGGTGTATATCAGTATATAGTGTCTCTACTTTAAAGAGTCCTCTCCTGCTGATGTTCAGGTGTATATCAGTATGTGGTGTCTCTACTTTAAAGAGTCCTCTCCTGCTGATGTTCAGGTGTATATCAGTATATAGTGTCTCTACTTTAAAGAGTCCTCTCCTGCTGATGTTGAGATGTATATCAGTATGTAGTGTCTCTACTTTAAAGAGTCCAGGTTTGTTTATCAGTAGAATAACAACTAAATAAATATTATTTATAAATATATAAATAAATAAAATTTTTATAAATAAAGTTTTGAATAAATCCGGCTATGGTATAAAAACACAATCCCAGAATATAAAAAGGTGAAACCTGCAGAGTTCCATGTATGTAAAATCCAAAAATGTAAAACTCGTAGAGAAAACCACCTTTAAAGATATGCATTGTAAAAGTCCATACATTTTAACACTACAGGTAAAACACTTTTAACTATCAACATGAAACTTTACATTAAGACAATTATGTTTATTATTACAAGTTTTTGAAGTGTTATGTTCGAATATGCAAATAAGACAGGTTTACTTTTGGTGAATTTAAGAGAAATGTAATGAGTCTCAAACTGACCGGTGTGTGTCGTGTCTCGCCTTAAACTAAAAACTATTAACTTAACTATGAATATATATTCCTAATATTTAACATCACACTGTGGCCTGAGCTCTGCTGAGAAAATCCACTGTGGAGGAGATGCCATATGTTGAATCACACACACACACACACACACACACACACACACACCACACACACACACCACACACACACACCACACACACACACACACACACACACACACACACACACACACACACACACACACACACACACACACACACACACACACACACACACACACACACACACACACACACACACACACACACACACACACAACACACACACACACACACCACACACACACACACACACACACACACACACACACACACACCACACACACACACACACCACTGTAAGGATGCAGGTGTTTGCACGCTGTTCAGATGGAATGATTTATTTGTAATCATGGTAGCATAATAAAACAATGAACACATTAAAAGCACTGACAGTTTGAACCCAAGGCCTCTCAAACACAGCATGCACCCCCCCCCCCCCCCCCTGCCCACCCCCCTTTTTTGTATTTTTTTTAACCCTTTAAATATATTTTGATATAAAAACAAGCCCACGTATGATGAGTGTTTGGGAACTGCCTCTAAACCCCCCCAAAAAAACCTTTCGTGTTCGTTATTGTCCCGCCTCTCTTTTCCTGTTCCTCTTCATGGATAAAAACAAAATCCCAGTCTCTGATGGTGGAAATTGAGGCGGAGGAGACGGCACAAAAAAAAAAAAAATGGTTTGATATCCTCCCTGAAAAAACAAGGAAAGCAATAAAAAAGATTTCCTTAAAAAAAGCAGTCCAGGTGGAGGAGCAGATTCTGGAGCTCTGGAGACTGGAGGCACTTTTCTCAGATTTAAAGCCCCACATCTGACACAAACCTGGGGGTTAGGATTCATGCAGAGATCCAGGAATGATGATGAAGATGAGAGGAGGAGGAAGAAAAGCACCTGACAAACGTGGAGGAAAAGGCCCAGCCTCTCCAGGTATAATGCCGCGTTCAGGAGAGGAGGAACGAAAAGAGAAGGAGGAGAAACTTGGACCAAAAGAGAGACGGCAGGTAACGGTTTGTTTCCAGATCATAGAGTCCTGAACCTGGAGATGTTGAAGACCCCAACGTTTAATGATATAAATGTTTAGGAGGGTCCCCAGCTCATAGAAACTGCCGGATGCTAACCTGGGCAGTTTGCACAATTAGCATGAAGTGTGTGAATTAGAACTTAATGTGGACTATAGTTAAAAAATGGTTTTACAGATTTGGTCATTATTATTATTCTTAGTGGTTTTGTGGGTTATTGAGGGATCTACAATGTCAACCAGAAAGGGGCCATCTTTGTACTCAAAAGGTAGTTTCTATGTGCTGGAGACCCCAACTCTACATTTCTAACATAACACTTTGGGGTACTCAACATCTCTGAGTTCACAAAGTGGCAAGTAGACTATAAAGAGTGAGGAAGAGACACAAACAGGAAACAGTCCTCGTGGGCGGGGGTCAGGGGGGAGGAAATGTTGTGGTCCCGCTTCTTCCTCCTCCTCCTCCTCCTCCTCCTCCTCCTCCTCCTCCTCAATAACCTCCAAAACCACTCCAAAATTGTCCAATTGTTCCACATAAGTCTATGATGCTAATTGCCCAACATATGCAGGTTAGCATCCGGCAGTTTCTATGTGCTGGAGACCCTAAGATAAAACTTTGGGGTACTTAACATTTCCGGGTTCACAAAGTGGCAAGTAGAGCTCCTTGGCCATTTATGATCCTGAAAATGTCCTCAATAACTCGCAAAACCACTCAAAAATGTTCCACATTTTCCACATAAGTCTATGATGGTAATTGTGTAAATTCATCTTGTTCCTCCCCCCCCTCACAGGTACAGCTCCTTGGCTCTGATGTGCTGCAGTTTGTCCCTCAGCATGTGGAAAGATGGCCGCACCACAGAGTCCAGGGTCCAGCACTGCTTCATCAGGTCGTAAACCACCGGGGGGCAGCCGTCAGGGGCGTCCATTTTGTATCCCTTCTCCACCCGGGGCACCACCTCCTTCAGAGGCTGGGGGAGAGAGAGAGAGATACAAAATACAGACTGATCAGATAAGAGTGACGGAGAGAGAGAGACAAAATACAGACTGATCAGATAAGAGTGACGGAGAGAGAGAGAGAGACAAAATACAGACTGGTCAAGCCCGAGCCAACTATAAATATTAGGGTTATTAAAAACAGTCGACAACAAATAACTAATCAAGTGAATCTAAGGAGAAGTGAAGCATGAAGACATAAAGTTTCACATGTTCCTCTCCTGCTCCAGCGGTGTCATTATTTAAAAACACAGTTCAGTAAACCAGTGCAGAATAAAGGGAGTCTGCCCTCTGCTGGTGGAGCTCGTTTTAAATGAAAAAACACATAATCCCTTTGTTATATATATTGGGGAGGGATGAACCCCTCTGTAATGGTCACACATGCAGAGCACACAGCACACAGTGACATGTGTTCTCTGCTTTAACCCACCCTAGCACCAGGAGTCTAGTGCTAGGAGTCTAGCACTAAGAGTCTAGCACCAGGAGTCTAGCACTAGGAGTCTAGTACTAGGAGTCTAGCACCAGGAGTCTAGCACTAGGAGTCTAGCACTAGGAGTCTAGCACCAGGAGTCTAGCACTAGGAGTCTAGTACTAGGAGTCTAGCACCAGGAGTCTAGTACCAGGAGTCTAGCACTAGGAGTCTAGCACCAGGAGTCTAGTACCAGGAGTCTAGCACTAAGAGTCTAGCACCAGGAGTCTAGCACTAAGAGTCTAGCACCAGGAGTCTAGCACCAGGAGTCTAGTACCAGGAGTCTAGCACCAGGAGTCTAGCACCAGGAGTCTAGCACCAGGAGTCTAGCACTAGGAGTCTAGCACTAGGAGTCTAGCACCAGGAGTCTAGTACTAGGAGTCTAGCACCAGGAGTCTAGCACCAGGAGTCTAGTACCAGGAGTCTAGCACCAGGAGTCTAGCACTAGGAGTCTAGCACCAGGAGTCTAGCACCAGGAGTCTAGCACCAGGAGTCTAGCACTAAGAGTCTAGCACCAGGAGTCTAGCACCAGGAGTCTAGCACCAGGAGTCTAGTACTAGGAGTCTAGTACTAGGAGTCTAGCACCAGGAGTCTAGCACCAGGAGTCTAGCACCAGGAGTCTAGTACTAGGAGTCTAGTACTAGGAGTCTAGCACCAGGAGTCTAGTACCAGGAGTCTAGCACTAGGAGTCTAGCACTAGGAGTCTAGCACCAGGAGTCTAGTGCCAGGAGTCTAGCACTAAGAGTCTAGCACCAGGAGTCTAGCACTAAGAGTCTAGCACCAGGAGTCTAGCACCAGGAGTCTAGTACCAGGAGTCTAGCACCAGGAGTCTAGCACCAGGAGTCTAGTACTAGGAGTCTAGCACCAGGAGTCTAGCACCAGGAGTCTAGCACTAGGAGTCTAGCACTAGGAGTCTAGCACCAGGAGTCTAGTACTAGGAGTCTAGCACCAGGAGTCTAGCACCAGGAGTCTAGTACCAGGAGTCTAGCACCAGGAGTCTAGCACTAGGAGTCTAGCACCAGGAGTCTAGCACCAGGAGTCTAGCACCAGGAGTCTAGCACTAAGAGTCTAGCACCAGGAGTCTAGCACCAGGAGTCTAGTACCAGGAGTCTAGCACTAGGAGTCTAGCACCAGGAGTCTAGCACTAGGAGTCTAGTACTAGGAGTCTAGCACCAGGAGTCTAGTACCAGGAGTCTAGCACTAAGAGTCTAGCACCAGGAGTCTAGCACTAAGAGTCTAGCACCAGGAGTCTAGCACCAGGAGTCTAGTACCAGGAGTCTAGCACCAGGAGTCTAGCACTAGGAGTCTAGCACTAGGAGTCTAGCACTAGGAGTCTAGCACCAGGAGTCTAGTACTAGGAGTCTAGCACCAGGAGTCTAGCACCAGGAGTCTCGTACCAGGAGTCTAGTACTAGGAGTCTAGTACTAGGAGTCTAGCACCAGGAGTCTAGTACCAGGAGTCTAGTACTAGGAGTCTAGTACTAGGAGTCTAGTACTAGGAGTCTAGCACTAGGAGTCTAGCACCAGGAGTCTAGTACTAGGAGTCTAGCACCAGGAGTCTAGCACCAGGAGTCTAGCACCAGGAGTCTAGCACCAGGAGTCTAGCACCAGGAGTCTAGTACTAGGAGTCTAGTACTAGGAGTCTAGCACTAGGAGTCTAGCACCAGGAGTCTAGTACTAGGAGTCTAGCACTAGGAGTCTAGCACCAGGAGTCTAGTACTAGGAGTCTAGCACCAGGAGTCTAGCACTAGGAGTCTAGTACCAGGAGTCTAGCACCAGGAGTCTAGCACCAGGAGTCTAGTACTAGGAGTCTAGCACCAGGAGTCTAGCACTAGGAGTCTAGCACCAGGAGTCTAGCACCAGGAGTCTAGCACCAGGAGTCTAGCACCAGGAGTCTAGCACTAAGAGTCTAGCACCAGGAGTCTAGCACCAGGAGTCTAGTACTAGGAGTCTAGCACTAGGAGTCTAGCACCAGGAGTCTAGTACTAGGAGTCTAGCACCAGGAGTCTAGCACTAGGAGTCTAGCACCAGGAGTCTAGCACCAGGAGTCTAGCACCAGGAGTCTAGCACTAAGAGTCTAGCACCAGGAGTCTAGCACCAGGAGTCTAGCACCAGGAGTCTAGTACTAGGAGTCTAGTACTAGGAGTCTAGCACCAGGAGTCTAGTACCAGGAGTCTAGCACTAGGAGTCTAGTACTAGGAGTCTAGCACCAGGAGTCTAGTACCAGGAGTCTAGCACTAGGAGTCTAGCACCAGGAGTCTAGTACCAGGAGTCTAGCACTAAGAGTCTAGCACCAGGAGTCTAGCACCAGGAGTCTAGTACCAGGAGTCTAGCACCAGGAGTCTAGCACCAGGAGTCTAGTACCAGGAGTCTAGCACCAGGAGTCTAGCACCAGGAGTCTAGCACCAGGAGTCTAGCACTAGGAGTCTAGCACTAGGAGTCTAGCACCAGGAGTCTAGTACTAGGAGTCTAGCACCAGGAGTCTAGCACCAGGAGTCTAGTACCAGGAGTCTAGCACCAGGAGTCTAGCACTAGGAGTCTAGCACCAGGAGTCTAGCACCAGGAGTCTAGCACCAGGAGTCTAGCACTAGAGTCTAGCACCAGGAGTCTAGCACCAGGAGTCTAGTACCAGGAGTCTAGCACTAGGAGTCTAGCACCAGGAGTCTAGCACTAGGAGTCTAGTACTAGGAGTCTAGCACCAGGAGTCTAGTACCAGGAGTCTAGCACTAAGAGTCTAGCACCAGGAGTCTAGCACTAAGAGTCTAGCACCAGGAGTCTAGCACCAGGAGTCTAGTACCAGGAGTCTAGCACCAGGAGTCTAGCACTAGGAGTCTAGCACTAGGAGTCTAGCACTAGGAGTCTAGCACCAGGAGTCTAGTACTAGGAGTCTAGCACCAGGAGTCTAGCACCAGGAGTCTCGTACCAGGAGTCTAGTACTAGGAGTCTAGTACTAGGAGTCTAGCACCAGGAGTCTAGTACCAGGAGTCTAGTACTAGGAGTCTAGTACTAGGAGTCTAGTACTAGGAGTCTAGCACTAGGAGTCTCGTACCAGGAGTCTAGTACTAGGAGTCTAGTACTAGGAGTCTAGCACCAGGAGTCTAGTACCAGGAGTCTAGTACTAGGAGTCTAGTACTAGGAGTCTAGTACTAGGAGTCTAGCACTAGGAGTCTAGCACCAGGAGTCTAGTACTAGGAGTCTAGCACCAGGAGTCTAGCACCAGGAGTCTAGTACTAGGAGTCTAGTACCAGGAGTCTAGCACCAGGAGTCTAGTACCAGGAGTCTAGCACCAGGAGTCTAGTACTAGGAGTCTAGTACTAGGAGTCTAGTACTAGGAGTCTAGTACCAGGAGTCTAGCACTAGGAGTCTAGTACTAGGAGTCTAGTACTAGGAGTCTAGCACTAGGAGTCTAGCACCAGGAGTCTAGCACTAGGAGTCTAGCACCAGGAGTCTAGCACCAGGAGTCTAGTACTAGGAGTCTAGCACCATGAGTCTAGCACCAGGAGTCTAGTACCAGGAGTCTAGCACCAGGAGTCTAGTACTAGGAGTCTAGTACTAGGAGTCTAGCACCAGGAGTCTAGCACCAGGAGTCTCGTACCAGGAGTCTAGTACTAGGAGTCTAGTACTAGGAGTCTAGCACCAGGAGTCTAGTACCAGGAGTCTAGTACTAGGAGTCTAGTACTAGGAGTCTAGTACTAGGAGTCTAGCACTAGGAGTCTAGCACCAGGAGTCTAGTACTAGGAGTCTAGCACCAGGAGTCTAGCACCAGGAGTCTAGTACTAGGAGTCTAGTACCAGGAGTCTAGCACCAGGAGTCTAGTACCAGGAGTCTAGCACCAGGAGTCTAGTAATAGGAGTCTAGTACTAGGAGTCTAGTACCAGGAGTCTAGCACTAGGAGTCTAGTACTAGGAGTCTAGTACTAGGAGTCTAGCACTAGGAGTCTAGTACTAGGAGTCTAGCACCAGGAGTCTAGTACTAGGAGTCTAGTACTAGGAGTCTAGTACTAGGAGTCTAGTACCAGGAGTCTAGCACTAGGAGTCTAGTACTAGGAGTCTAGTACTAGGAGTCTAGTACTAGGAGTCTAGTACCAGGAGTCTAGCACCAGGAGTCTAGTACCAGGAGTCTAGCATTAGGAGTCTAGCACCAGGAGTCTAGTACTAGGAGTCTAGTACTAGGAGTCTAGTACTAGGAGTCTAGTACCAGGAGTCTAGTACTAGGAGTCTAGTACTAGGAGTCTAGCACTAGGAGTCTAGCACCAGGAGTCTAGTACTAGGAGTCTAGCACCAGGAGTCTAGTACTAGGAGTCTAGCACTAGGAGTCTAGCACTAGGAGTCTAGTACTAGGAGTCTAGCACCAGGAGTCTAGCACCAGGAGTCTAGTACTAGGAGTCTAGTACCAGGAGTCTAGCACCAGGAGTCTAGTACCAGGAGTCTAGCACCAGGAGTCTAGTACCAGGAGTCTAGTACTAGGAGTCTAGCACCAGGAGTCTAGTACTAGGAGTCTAGCACTAGGAGTCTAGCACTAGGAGTCTAGTACTAGGAGTCTAGCACCAGGAGTCTAGTACTAGGAGTCTAGCACCAGGAGTCTAGCACCAGGAGTCTAGTACTAGGAGTCTAGTACCAGGAGTCTAGCACCAGGAGTCTAGTACCAGGAGTCTAGCACCAGGAGTCTAGTACTAGGAGTCTAGTACTAGGAGTCTAGCACCAGGAGTCTAGCACTAGGAGTCTAGCACCAGGAGTCTAGCACCAGGAGTCTAGTACTGGGAGTCTAGCACTAGGAGTCTAGCACCAGGAGTCTAGTACCAGGAGTCTAGCACCAGGAGTCTAGTACTGGGAGTCTAGCACCAGGAGTCTAGCACCAGGAGTCTAGTACCAGGAGTCTAGCACCAGGAGTCTAGCACCAGGAGTCTAGTAGTAGGAGTCTAGCACCAGGAGTCTAGTAGTAGGAGCAGTGGGCAGCTATTGTACAGCGCCCAGGGAGCAATGGGAGTGGGGGGGAAGGGGGTTGTCCGGTGCCTTGCTCAAGGGCACCACGGCAGGGCAGGAGGTGAACTGGGACCTCTCCGAGTAGAAGTCCACACTCCATATTTAGGTCTGTTCAGGGACTTGAACCGGCGACCCTACAGCTCCCAGTCCAAGCCCCTACTGACTGACTGACTGAGCCACTGCCGGTATTACATGGTCTTCTTAAAAATAGGAATACAACTTTACAAGTAAGAGTACTCTTTAAAAAATGTATTACTACATAAAAAAGGGCCCTTAAGTGTGTGAGCATTAGCGTACTCAAAGTAAAAGTACTAGTGGCCCCTTTGAGTGTAATGATCATTAATTATATTATTATTTTTACTGGTACATTCATGTGTAAGTAGCATTTTTTAATTTTTATTTAAACATGTATTTATTGATTTTCTACAATTATCACATTACAGAAACACAACTGAAGATTCCCCAGCATTAGACATATGGCAGATTACAAAATAATGCTAACAATTAAATAAAAAGTGTGCAGTTACTAAAATCAGTTTAAAGTACAGACCAAGATTATAATTACAAATTGTAAGTAGCATTTTAATGTTGTAGTGCATTGATGAAAAGCTAAAATAAACCATTTTATATACAGTTTGGTTCTTTAATCTACTGTATAATATGTAAGGGATAATTTCATGATGTGAAACCTTGGGAAGTATCTAGATATCCCTGCCCTAATGCCAAAGGAACTGGCAACTGAATATGTTTTGCCGTTTGATGTCTATGTCTGGACCGCTGCGTAAAAAGGAGGGTTTCTGCCCCGTTACTTCTCCGCTGTTTTCTTGTCGCTCTTGTCTTGTCGGTTTGAAAACTGTATACAGTTCAATCGACCGGACTTCTTTCTGCAGATGTGAACGTCCTTAACAACGGTCAATAAGTGCTTGACAGCGGTCTGTACTACTGGATTAACAACGTGTCACGTGTTCTGAATTGACCAATCAGAATCGAGTATTCAACTAAGCCATGTAATAAGTAAGGGATAATGTGCAGCGACGCGGTCATTATGGGGAAAAGAACACCGACAGGCAGATCAGGAGCCCGACGCGAAGTGGAGGGATCTAGATCGGCATGAATGACCAAGTTTTATTGATTTAAATTGACATGCATCCGCTAAGGAAAATAGTCCGTTGTTACCGTTTGAAAAACGTAGCAACGGCAGGAAGGCGGAGCTTTTTGATTACAGATTTGAAAACATCGTTGCTTGCTTTAAAAGTATCACAATTCATTATGTCAAACCTTGGAAAGTATCTAGATATCCCTGCCCTAATGCCAAAGGAACTGCACACTGAATATGTTTTGCCGTTTGATGTCTATGTCTGGACCGCTGTGTAAAAGGAGGGTTTCTGCCCGTTACTTCTCCGCTGTTTTCTTGTTGCTCTTGTCTTGTCAGTTAGAAAAGCAAACTGCATGCAGTTTGCTTTTCGGCCAAACTGTATACAGTTAAATCGAACGGACTTCTTTGTGCAGATGTGAGCGTCCTTAACAACGGTCAATAAGTCCTTGACAGCGGTCTGTCTGTTCTGGATTAACAACGTGTCACGTGTTCTGAATTGACCAATCAGAATCGAGTATTCAACTAAGCCATGTAATATTGCATCATAGTCCATCCATCCTTCTATCCTTCGTTCCAAACCATTAATAGAAGTGTTAGTCCCCTCTTCCACCTAAACACTAACACTTTCTCTAGAGGTTAAAAGCTGTGATGGTGCGTTCAGGTACTCACAATTCTGGGGTAAGGCACGCGCCCAAAGGAGTAAATCTCCCAAAGTAAGATCCCGTAACTCCAGACGTCAGACTTGGTGGAAAACCTCTGGAGAACAGAAAAAAAGGGAGGACAGAATTCACAAATCAGATATTCATTCAGAGCAAAGCAGGTATTTCCCACCATACAGAAAGAGGCTTTGTCTTTATCAACTCAGGTGCTTTCTATATTCTTTAACAATATAAATATATAAAGCAGTAAAAGTATTAACACCATATTCCCTCACAAGGAAGATTCCAGATTTAAAACTCTTTAAGTGAAACTACAGAAGTATTATCAACAAAACATACCTGATTTATTACAAATAAAAGGCTCTTTTTACAACGTATATAATCAGAATATAGCTTTTTAATGTCGTAGTTTATCAAAGTGGGTCAGAGTCTGGGTACTTTGTATTCTACTGCGTAGTACTTAAGTACCACATTATATCTCACACACAAATACATCTTTGTACACAGAAAAAGTATTTCATCTTATACTGTATGGAAGTGTTTTAAATGTAGTGTCAATAGTACAATACTCCCTCTATAGTATGAGGAAGCGTGTAATATATATACTCAAGTACAGTAAAAGTCAATTGTACACCTTTTAAGTAAAAGTACTACGTTACATGGCACCACTGCTCTTTGGTGGTTTGGTTTACTTCAGAGGTCAGGTGAGGAAACATGGGGTGACAACAAACAGAGATATCTCTAAATGTTCAGAGAGGAAATTAAGGCCAGGCTCAAAATATATCTTCATCTTCGAGTTCATCTTGTGAGAGCAAACAGGGTTTTCCCTTGGATACACACCATAATACATATTCACACGGATATCTAGACCTGTTGTCCAGGTCATGTGCAGTTTAGATGCTCAGCCATGTGCTATTTTTAGTTTTTCTTGATTGATATAATTCAACTTCAGCAAAAAATGTACATCTGTAATGTCCATTTGACGTGCTGTTTGGAGCAAGGCCTATAAAGATCAATGAGGTCTATGAACGCTGGCAGAAGAAAACTGATCCCACCTAATACAAATCAGTATCAAGTCAAAGCCTCCCTGCTAAAGAAAACTGTAGTTTGACCTCGCAGAACACGGCAGGTTTTCTCCGTGTCTCTTGGATATACGGTATCATACAAAAACACGTATGTAATCTAGCGTGTAAGGCATGTATTCTCAGCCATGTCACATTTTCTGTTTTTCTTGCTTCGTATGATTTCAACTTCGGCAGAACATGTACTTTGTCTCTACTTAAAGCTCTCCCATCATGCTAAATGCACTTTTTAATGTCTTTTACACATACATATGTGCAGGGGCGCTAGTGACTTATCCGACCGGCCCACCACGGTACCACTAGTAAATAGTCTACGGGGGGCGCTAGTGACTTATCCGTCCGGCCCACCACGGTACCACTAGTAAATATCGCTCGGAAATAGTCTACGGGGGGCGCTAGTGACTTATCCGACCGGCCCGATATGAGGCTAGAATGCATGATCTGTTTGGTCTTTTGAGCAAAACACTTCATAGACATGTTTTTTTTGTATATTTGTATATATCTGAGACCTATAATATATGCCTACAAATTGTATAATAGGAGACCTTTAAAACCTCCTACTTACTTGCGCTGCTTCCCAAGCAAAACTAAGTAAAAACAATCACCCGGAAAGCACCAGCACATTACCCCGGGCGTGTATCTCACCTTCTCCCTGATGGCTTCGGGGGAGGTCCACTTGACGGGCAGTTTTCCGGTGTCCTGGATGGACGACGCCTCCTTGGTGAGGCCGAAGTCGCTGACTTTAGCGATGTTGTCGTCAGAAACCAGAACGTTTCGAGCCGCCAGGTCTCTGTGCACGAAGTTGTTGTTCTCCAGATACTCCATGGCCTCACACACATCACTGAAGAGACAGAGGGGAGGGGGGGAAGATTATAAGTGTTAGAAAAATCTCACTGGTCTCCGGCTTGAGCTTCAATCTCAGGATCCATGTATCTCTGATCCTCTCCAGAATGGAAGTAGTCATCACATACAGAGCATCAACTAGTTCCTGAACAGTGTCCTTCACATGCTGATATCCAAGAGAGGGAGTTACACAGTCACAAGATGGAGGAATACCGGTTATTCTAGGTAATCATACATCCTGTCATGTACACAATACTGACTTTTTACTCAAAATGTTGGCTTTTTTTCTCAAAATCTAAAAATCCTGTATTTCTCAAAAAATTCTGACTTTTTCCTCAAAACCTCAAAATTCTTACTTTTCTCAAAAAATTCTTACTTTTTTCTCAAAATTTCGATTTTTTCCCCTCAAAATCTCAACATTCTGACTTTCTCTCAAAATCCGGACTTTTTTCTCAACATTCTGACTTTTCTAAAAATTCTGACTTTTTCTGAATACGTCACCGGGTTGAGCTTCAATCTCAGGATCCATGTATTTATGATCCTCTCATATAAAAATGAGCCCCATTAACTGAGTTTTAAACATCAGCATATCCGGTCATAGTCTGCTAACGGAAACTCTGCTACACAATTCTTCTTCTTATTATTAATATTATTGAAACATGACCGGTAAGTTTCGAATTTGTCCGGTAAAATAAATTATTTCCGGACAAGAAAGAAACCTAGCGGAAGCCCTGGTGTGTAAAATGCACAAACAATTATTTTTATTTAAATGTGTTCATTTGAATAACTTGATGCACTACTGATTAGCTTAACCTATAATAATAATATATGATAATGTGTGTCGATTTATATTTTGTAATATCATAAATATGCAAAGTAACTTGATGTGTAAAATAAATGTAGTGGGGTAAAGTGAAAATACTCAGGTACAAGTACCTCCATTGTTTACTTAGTTATATTACACCACTTTCAAACATCCAAACTCTACTTTAAGTTGAATGCAGTGGAAATATAATAATCACTCGAACATGGAAGATAGAAAACAGGCTAAATATACATTTCTTTCTCCTCTCCTTGCTTCAGGGTTAACATCTAACCCCTTGCACATCTCCAACATGTTCATTCGAGGGTGACACACTGGAAATGAATCATGAAATATTTCCTTTTCTGCCTGCATGATCCGAGTGTTTCCACTTATGTACCGGCTGCTGAGTTACAGCGTGTAGAATTATAAATCAAGACTTGAAAAGCATCCATTTAGAGTTCAGCTGTAAACAAAGATCTCTTTCATTCTGCGTCTGGCTCTGAGCAGCAGATTCATGTGACTCATGTTTGTCTATTCTGAAAATCTAATCGTCTCGTTGGCAGCGATGTGAGCTGGAGACGTTCAGTACGCCTCAGTTTTACGATAGAAATGTATAGTATAGATCCCCAGCACATAGAAACGGCAGGATGCTAACCCGCATATGTTGCACAATTAGCATAAGATGTGTTAAGAAGCATTGAATAGCATCATAGCCCATGCAGACAACAGTTTAAAAAGAGTGTTATTGAGGATGCTGGATCCATTTCTGTCATTTTCAGGATCAAAAATGGCAGTTTTAACCAGAAAGAGGCCATATCTGTACTCTCTGTCGTTGGATATAGAGAGCACAAGATGAACATTATTACCTCTAACACTTCTTTACTAACCCTATACATAAGCAATGTGTCCAATTCAAATGATCAAGAGTCCACTAACATCTCAAAATGCATCCAAAATGCATCACAATCGGTCCACAGAGAGCACAAATATGACCATTTTCATGTTAAAACTTCCATTTATGATCCTGCAAAAGTCAGAAATGGATTCAGCATCATCCATAGCCCTCAAAACCACTCAGACATTGTCCAAATCGGCCATTTTTTTGTTTACTTATATCCACATAAGCTATAATGCTACTTAACACAATTTATGCTAATTGTGCAAATTGCCTAAAATATGCAAGTTAGCATCCGGCAATTTATTTTGTGCTGGGGATCTACACTCTACATTTCTAACATAACACTTTGGGGTACTCAACATTTCAGGGTTCACAACAGGACTTGATGATAATAATAATAATAATAATAATAATAATAATAATAATAATAATATTAATAATACATTGGATTTTTATAGCGCTTCTCCCAGTGCTCAAAGACACTTTACACAAAATCAGAAACAATCAAAGTGCGACTAAAGTGTGGGATCAGAGTTTGAGAGCTAGAGTGAAATGAGTCTGCCTCTAATAAGAAGATGAAGAGCGATGATGATGATGATGATGAAGACTCACAGAGAGAACTTGAGTAAGCAGTCTCCCCCGAGCACGGTCCTTCCTCTGGAGCGCAGGTAGTCCACTAAACTGCCCTGTGGGGAACAAACAGGTTACACAACAATTAACAAACATTCATACGAGGAAAGATCCGTTAGATCCATATTTTTAACTGTATTAAATAATCAAATGTTTTATAATAATAGTTTTCATTGGTATGTTTAACTAATTGACTTTATGTATATATTCATTGATAATGATCAGAATGAGAAGTATTACCTTAATATCACCAGAGAATCATTAATAAAGGCGAAACAACCTGGAAAGATATTGTTATTTAATTCACTTAAAAAACCTAAAAACTACAAAACTAGTCAGAAAACTGGAAACATTTCTTAGATAATGAACTCCTAAATATCTAATATTAGGAAACTCCCTCATTAACCGAAACAACTTTTGAAATGATGAGCATGAGTCCAGTATTGTTCCCACATGTTTTAAAGCGTGCTGCGTTTATAAACCCCCATGTGACGTACCTTAGCCATGTACTCTGTGACGATGTAGAGACTTCCCCTCTCCTCCACGATCACCCCCAACAGCTGCACCAGGTTGTTGTGCCTCAGTTGCCTAAACAAACACAACAACAGAATCACAACAACAACAACAAGTGTTAGCTGGAAACATCAAGGTGTCTCTGCTCCGACAACAACAGAATAAATAATATACATATATATATATAACGGGTTTGCGTGTGCACACTAAAACAGATGTAGCAAGGTAATAATAATAATACATTTCATTTATATAGCACACTTTAAAAACAACGTCATCTCAAGCTGCACTTTGTTTTGTACTGTATAAATAAAGTTATTATTATTGTTATAATTCAAAGAGTGTGAGATGTGTGTGTTATTGATTTATTAACAGCAGCAGGTCAGAGGAGGGTCTCACGTCATGACGGAGGCCTCGGCGATGAACGCCTGCGCTGTGGCGTCGTTTTTGATGCATTTCACCGCCACTTTGTTCCCTCTGTAGTCTCCCACCATCACATCTAACACACACACACACACACACACACACACACACACACACACCACACACACACACACACACACCACACACACACACACACTACAGCACACACACACACATACACACACACACAACACACACACACACACTACACACACACAACACACACACCACACACACACACACACACACACACACACACACACACAACACACACACACACACACACACACACACACACACACACACACACACACACACACACACACACACACACACACACACACACACACACCACACACACACCACACACACACACACACACACACACACACACCACACACACACACACACACACACACACACACACACACACACACACACACACACACACACACACACACACACACGGGGGTCACCTCTGCTCTCAGGTATTATGTTATCATTAAATAACGCAGAGATCTGAAATATGTCCTCACCTCCAAACTCTCCTTTTCCGATGGTCTGCAGGAGTTTCAGCTCCTTCCTGTTCAGCGCCCAGCCGCCTGAGGGAGGAGACATTTAGAGGACTTCACAGGCAACACAACCATGCTTTGAAGCTAACAATATGACTGTGAGACACCGGGGGAAAGCACGCATTGATGAAGACGAGACACTGTGGAAAGATATTGTTATTTTTACATATAAGTTATTTCATTTTGCAACTCACTTAAAGGTGGGGTAGGTAAGTTTGAGAAACCGGCTCGAGATCGCTAGAATTTGAAAATACACAACCGGAGAAAATCTCCCACTTCCTTACAGAGCCCCTCCTCCAACACACACGAACGCGCACATGACCAATGAGGGCACGAGATCAGTTTGTGCACAGATGGAAGGCTGACAGGCAGGTAGGCCATCCAGTTATTTTAGCCGGGCCGGCTAAAATGATTGGTCGTGCTTTTTACAGTACTACAGCTTCCACAGATGAAATTTCTTTATGGATGTTTTGTCAAAGCACTTCAGATATTCATTGCTATCGGGATGTTAAGAGCATTCCATGGAATATAACAACAAGTGTATCTCGAGCCGGTTCCTCAAACTTACCTACCCCACCTTTAAGTAACTTAAAAACTAGATAATGAGCTCCAAATATCCAATATTAGGAGAAACTCCCTCTGAAGGGAACACAGGGATTTCAGCCTCTGCAGACCATTGACATGCATTCAAAAGTGATTGAACACACCACAGGGAAGGGGAAACCCTAAAGAGTGTAATCGGGCCACTTTAAATATTTCTAGGGTAGAATTCTACTTTTCCTAAATTATTTTCAATATATTCAATTAACCTTAAAGTGAGCAAGTTATATAAGAAGGAACAAAGACGACCTAAGTTGCTTATTATTATATTTGAGTTTTGCCTCTTTTTGTTTGATTTGTTTTGACTATTGCAAAGGCCTCTTTTTCTTTGTTACTACATGTGATTTTATTTTGAGCACAGTATCACCCCCAGGCAAACAACTCATCCCCTGCGAGTCACACACAGATAGGGAAAGAAAGAGAGTTAGAAATGTCTGCTTAAGGCAGGGGGGCAAACTCCATTTCATGGCGGGCCACATCAGCATCATGGTTGCACCCAAAAGGCCGGTTGTAACTTTAAGACTATATAAATATATAAATATATAATTATATTATATATATATAATATAATGTATTATATTATATATATAATATAATGTATTATATAACATTATTGGCTCTGCATTGGATTATTATCAGATAGGGTAATAAATAATGAACTACGTCTGAAAGCAGAAGTCTAGGGCGAATAATTGCAAGTCTCTTCAGTGCTCATGTCACAAAACGAGATGCATTGTGGGACATGTAGTTTATGGGCAACGTGCTTCTGTAAAGCGGCATGTAACCGTATAATAAACGTATTCTATTCTTTCAGAGGGCCACAGGAAAGGAAGTCCTTGAGTTTGACACCTCTGGTTTAAGGCGTCTATTGGCCTGATGAAAAATAGGGAAGGAAGCCACGACAATATGAACACAGTGTGTGTGAGGAGAGTGTGTGTGTGAGGAGAGAGTGTGTGTGTGAGGAGAGTGTGTGTGTGAGGAGAGAGCGTGTGTGTGAGGAGAGAGTGTGTGTGTGAGGAGAGTGTGTGTGTGAGGAGAGAGCGTGTGTGTGAGGAGAGTGTGTGTGTGTGAGGAGAGAGCGTGTGTGTGGAGAGTGTGTGTGTGAGGAGAGTGTGTGTGTGAGGAGAGAGCGTGTGTGTGAGGAGAGTGTGTGTGTGAGGAGAGAGCGTGTGTGTGAGGAGAGTGTGTGTGTGTGTGTGTGTGTGTGTGTGTGTGTGTGTGTGAGGAGAGTGTGTGTGTGTGTGTGTGTGTGTGTGTGTGTGTGTGTGTGTGTGAGGAGTGTGTGTGTGTGAGGAGAGTGTGTGTGTGTGTGTGTGGTGTGTGTGTGTGTGTGTGTGTGTGTGTGTGTGTGAGGAGTGTGTGTGTGTGTGTTCTTACTCCTGGAGAACTCATCCTGAGCTGCCACCGTTCCCTCCATCAATTTGGGTTTAATGAGCCGAGTGCAGAGGCCGTCTGCGTCTTTGGTGTAATGCTGAGAGAGAGGAGAGAATGCATTAATAACACGGAGAGAGAGAACTGAGAATCATCAGAAGTCTGCAGAGAGAGCAAGAGTACACACATCCTGTACTCAAGTAGAAGTACACACATCCTGTACTCAAGTAGAAGTACACACATCCTGTACTCAAGTAGAAGTACACACATCCTGTACTCAAGTAGAAGTACACACATCCTGTACTCAAGTAGAAGTACACACATCCTGTACTCAAGTAGAAGTACACACATCCTGTACTCAAGTAGAAGTACACACATCCTGTACTCAAGTAGAAGTACACACATCCTGTACTCAAGTAGAAGTACACACATCCTGTACTCAAGTAGAAGTACACACATCCTGTACTCAAGTAGAAGTACACACATCCTGTACTCAAGTAGAAGTACACACATCCTGTACTCAAGTAGAAGTACACACATCCTGTACTCAAGTAGAAGTACACACATCCTGTACTCAAGTAGAAGTACACACATCCTGTACTCAAGTAGAAGTACACACATCCTGTACTCAAGTAGAAGTACACACATCCTGTACTCAAGTAGAAGTACACACATCCTGTACTCAAGTAGAAGTACACACATCCTTTACTCAAGTAGAAGTACACACATCCTGTACTCAAGTAGAAGTACACGCATCCTTTACTCAAGTAGAAGTACAGATACTCGTGTTTAAAAATACTCTGGTGAAAGTAGAAGTACTGACTAAACTTCTTTACTCAAGTAAAAGTAAAGAGGGCTTTGAAATGTACTTCAGTAAAAAGTACCCATAACTAGCAGCTGTTTTAAAGAGTACCTGACCTCCCTTTATATTAATAGAACAATAATGTCATTGTTAGCTAATGAATGTTTCCATGCTGAACAACGGCAACATGACAACGTTTTCATTGGTCCCTCTTCTTTAGAGAAGACCAGGAAATGATGGATACACGGATCGTGTTCAAATCAATAGGCACGCAATGACTCTAAATAATAATGATCACGCCACCAAACACACATTCAAACTAAAGGAACCAGCCTGTTTGGGAAATGAGAGAAGTAGAAAGTACAGGTATTTGGGTTCAACATGTGAGAAGTAGAAAGTACAGGTATTTGTGTTCAAAATGTAAGAAGTAGAAAGTACAGGTATTTGGGTTCAACATGTAAGAAGTAGAAAGTACAGGTATTTGGGTTCAACATGTAAGAAGTAGAAAGTACAGGTATTTGTGTTCAACATGTAAGAAGTAGAAAGTACAGGTATTTGTGTTCAACATGTAAGAAGTAGAAAGTACAGGTATTTGTGTTCAAAATGTAAGAAGTAGAAAGTACAGGTATTTGTGTTCAACATGTAAGAAGTAGAAAGTACAGGTATTTGGGTTCAACATGTAAGAAGTAGAAAGTACAGGTATTTGTGTTCAACATGTAAGAAGTAGAAAGTACAGGTATTTGTGTTCAAAATGTGAGAAGTAGAAAGTACAGGTATTTGTGTTCAACATGTAAGAAGTAGAAAGTACAGGTATTTGTGTTCAACATGTAAGAAGTAGAAAGTACAGGTATTTGTGTTCAACATGTAAGAAGTAGAAAGTACAGGTATTTGGGTTCAACATGTAAGAAGTAGAAAGTACAGGTATTTGTGTTCAACATGTAAGAAGTAGAAAGTACAGGTATTTGTGTTCAACATGTAAGAAGTAGAAAGTACAGGTATTTGTGTTCAAAATGTAAGAAGTAGAAAGTACAGGTATTTGTGTTCAACATGTAAGAAGTAGAAAGTACAGGTATTTGGGTTCAACATGTAAGAAGTAGAAAGTACAGGTATTTGTGTTCAACATGTAAGAAGTAGAAAGTACAGGTATTTGTGTTCAAAATGTGAGAAGTAGAAAGTACAGGTATTTGTGTTCAACATGTAAGAAGTAGAAAGTACAGGTATTTGTGTTCAACATGTAAGAAGTAGAAAGTACAGGTATTTGTGTTCAACATGTAAGAAGTAGAAAGTACAGGTATTTGTGTTCAACATGTAAGAAGTAGAAAGTACAGGTATTTGTGTTCAAAATGTAAGAAGTAGAAAGTACAGGTATTTGTGTTCAACGTGTAAGAAGTAGAAAGTACAGGTATTTGAGTTCAACATGTAAGAAGTAGAAAGTACAGGTATTTGTGTTCAAAATGTAAGAAGTAGAAAGTACAGGTATTTGTGTTCAACGTGTAAGAAGTAGAAAGTACAGGTATTTGAGTTCAACATGTAAGAAGTAGAAAGTACAGGTATTTGAGTTCAACATGTAAGAAGTAGAAAGTACAGGTATTTGGGTTCAACATGTAAGAAGTAGAAAGTACAGGTATTTGTGTTCAACATGTAAGAAGTAGAAAGTACAGGTATTTGTGTTCAACATGGAAGAAGTAGAAAGTACAGGTATTTGTGTTCAACATGTAAGAAGTAGAAAGTACAGGTATTTGTGTTCAACATGTAAGAAGTAGAAAGTACAGGTATTTGGGTTCAAAATGTAAGAAGTAGAAAGTACAGGTATTTGTGTTCAACATGTAAGAAGTAGAAAGTACAGGTATTTGTGTTCAACATGTAAGAAGTAGAAAGTACAGGTATTTGAGTTCAAAATGTAAGAAGTCAAAGTAAAAAGTCATCAGAAAAATAAGTAGTGGAGTAAAGTACTGATACCAGAAACATGTACTTAAGTACAGTAACAAAGTAGTCTGTAAGAAACTGATATTGCAAAACTGTAAAAATAAGTTAGAACCTACAAATGGAAAATGTCAGTAGACGGTAATTAGGAAAAACAATTCAACGATTTACGAAGCGTTGTTGACGAGATGAGACACACAACATGTAGGGAATCTGTTTCTCATTCCTCATAAAGCTTAGAGTTAGATTTAAAACACGAGTACAGGATGTTCATAGGTATTAAACTAGACATTCAAAAAGCATCCTTTGGTTTTCTATCATCACGTTATCTGTCACGGTTATTACGTTAGTTTGAACAAAAATAAATGACCGCCCTGAAAAAGCAAAAAAGAACGTTATTACAATATATCAGCCGGGCCTTTAATCACATTATTGGTCAGGTTTTATACATTTATTTGGGTTTTATTACACCTTCAATCAGGTTAGAAGCACATTTTATTGCATTGGTTTGGATTCTTTGAAACCCTTCATCTTAATCTTTCGTTATTATAACAGATAAAAACAAGAAGACGTCCATTTCATATAATACACAAAACACTGAGTGCATGTTTCACCGATAATCCTCAGATATCTTCCAGCGTCATTATGTATGTTTTCTATTTGGAGATGTTTGTTTATGATGTTTGTTGATCTCCTTCTCACATTGTGTGCAAAGCTTTGTTTACAAGCTGCTGTGACGGAAACATGTCCCAGACTGAGATCAATAAAGTCAACCTCACCCTTTCATCCTCTTTGTGAGTTTAGAGATGAAAGGTGTTTCTGTGTGCCAGCTTTTCATATGCAGAGGAACAAAGACAGAGCAACGGGAGGCGATGAAAAGAGAGTTGATGTAATAAGAATAGATTCAATTTGTAAAGCACACTTTCAAGGTTACACTTACATGGTGACAAACAAACAAACAAACAAACAAACAAACAAACAAACACACAAACAAAGTATATGTTATCAGAAAAGAGCCGGGGGTGGCAGAATGAATACAGAGGTTTCATCCCGAGTGAGAGGAAGGTTTGAGCCGACCTAATACTTCCCATTCTGAGCTGAATATATAAGAAATATTGAACATTTTCTGACTAGTTTTTTAAGTCAATATTTTACTTTAAAGGCTGTTTCTGTTTCTCCTGCTCCGACTGGAACAGAGGGTTTATCAGAGGGAGGAGATCAATCACTTCTGATCAGATCAATATCATCACTTTGAGACTACAGTAACAGCAGTAGTGACTTTATCCACTCACTATCACAGAGGGATTGCTAAACTGGGATTAACTGAGTTTGGACGCTCCAACGACGACAAAGTTATTGCTTTAAATACCATTTATTTACAACCACAAACAGCGCGTGTACGGAAACACTTAGGAGTTGTGGTATTGTCTTTGGAAACTGTCCAATTTGAACATTCTGTCCTTTTCTTTAATGGCATGGTTTGGTACCCTACCTTTAAAGGTCTCCTATTATATTAATGTTAGGCATATATTATAGGTCTCAGAGAGGAGAGCTCATCAGGAGAACTCTCCAATCAGAAACTCAGCTAAATGCTGCCGTGATTAAACACCATCATGTTCCAAACCACATCAAGGATTATCTCTGAAACAGTACGGAGCTCAAACTCTTCTTCTCTCTCAGGTTTACCACAAGGTGAGTTCCTTTTTATTTCCTGCTTCTTCACACACGCTCTCTCCAGTACAGGTTAGCTCTGAGTGTTAGCGATGCTAATGTAAACAGCGACCATATTACGTCCAGAACACGTCGGGCATTGTTTCTGAAACGTTTCTGATAGGCCCGTGGGTCTAAAGCCCGCCTACATCTCCGATATTACGTCATATCGGACGCAAATCTGGATCAGCTCCGTTGTTCCCCCGTTTTTAGAGATGTGGGTACGGAGGAAAAGAGAGAGGGTTTTATTTTCTTGACACACCGGGGACACTTCTTTATGTAGAAAAGAGACATCAGAAAGTGCGTTTTGCACGATAGGAGACCTTTAAAGAGCAGAGATTCTGTAACTCAGATCATAAAGAGGTCCAGCAGACTGATTGGTGAGCCACAGCTGGACCTGGAGACCCTCAGACAGCTACAGCGGGTACCCAGCTCTATATAGGACGATGATATCGTTGACTGCTACAACATCCTTTATGGCTCCTCATCCAACATCCTGAAGAAATGTCAATATTTCCAAAACGCTGCTGCCCAACTTAACAATTGACAGTCCTTAAATGAATATGTTTAATATCCTCCTCCACAAATCACTAGCCAGCTACTCCCACGTCCTCCACCTTTAAATCACTGATAACAGCTCCCCTCTTCAGGCTGGTTTCAAATGTGTGATTAACGCCCTGGTGCTTTATGTTTGTATCTTTGTAAAGCGGTAGTGGTTCCAATCTCAGTCGCATTTAATCCAACAATGTCTGCGTTGATTGGCTGCCAGAATACTACTTTTTTTCTACATATGGGTACAGAGAAGCGGAGACATTTCCCAGACACTTATCCCCTCAGATATGGTTGATTTAAATCACAGAAACGTTTGAGATGACGGCATCGTCTCCTGAATGAACGAGACTCTGCGGAAGACTGACAGTGTGTGTGAAGCGTCTCAAGAAGATTAGGAGTGTGTGTGTGTGTGTGTGACCTAGCATTACTATCCTTGTGGGGACCTACATCTGTTTACACAGTCACGTGTGGGGACTCGCCTCCCTTATGGGGACATAAGGGAGGTCCCCATAAGGGGAATCATTAATTTTAGGGTGAAGACTTGGTAAGGGTTAGGGTAAGGCATGTGTTGGTTAGGGTTAAGGTTAGGATAAGTCTCCAGGAAATGCATGTAAGTCAATGTAATGTCCCCTGAAGTGATGTATACATGGTGTGTGTGTGTGTGTGTGTGTGTGTGTGTGTGTGTGTGTGTGTGTGTGTGTGTGTGTGTGTGTGTGAGTGAGAGAGAGGTCGTCCATGCATCTGATCATTAACCCAGGAAACACATCCGAACCAAACAACCCGTCAGTATCTGCTCAGTCAAAGCAGGCTAGAGGAATAAGGGAATATTTGACCTCCAAAATCATCATTTGAACATCAGTTATTCCCCCCAGTGTTACCTTGACATGTTACGTTGTTTCCGCATGCCTCCAAGGTAAAAAAAACAACAAGAAAACCTAAGAAATAATTGGATGATTTGAAGTAAAAGGAGATCTCTATGAAAACACTCAAACTCTCACACAATTCACACGGCATAATCAAGTCTATCTCGTCGTATGTTCACTACTTTACGAACACATGCATTCAAACTAAAACCTTCCTATTAAAAACACACATGAAGGACTACACTGTACTCTCACATCAAGAACAAGGCATGGTGCAAATCCATTGATAAGAATCAACCTCAAAAACAAAGGCAAAGTCATAAGACACGATGAAAGATACGTTTTTTGTTATAAAATAGTTTATTAATGGGTTGTTCTGAGATGGACTTTTTTCTCTTTATCAAACTAATTGACTTGAGTTAATTAATAACAATGTTTTCTTTAGTAATTCAAGGTAACACTGGGTGAGTATTCGATAAACAAAAGGGCGTTTTGTGGCTGAACTGTTCATTTAATGTGTGAGTCAGATTCCTCCGAACAAAAGCAGCTCATCAAAGCGTGACAAACAAAGGAACTGTTACTGACTGCAGCACAGGGTGTAATCTACCCAGCAACCACCAGGGGGCAGCATGGTGAAGACATGCTGCAGCTGTATCATTGGTTACAATACGAGCAGTTTTTCGAATATCATCTTGAGAAAATGTAAAGAGACGTCTGTGAAAGATGCATAATAATTAGCGCTGAGTGCTTTTAGGGCTAAAGATGATCTTAAATATGAGTTAGTCTGCGGATCGTTCTTTACAACAAAGGATCAATTGTTCAAGGTGATGGCTTTAAATGACTTGTGTGGTCAGTCCTAAACCTACATATATTCACATTTATTGTAAACGGATGAAATTGAGGTTAACAAACTGTATTTTCTGACATTTTTGCATTAAATAAGAATTTAAAAATAATTAATTATCTAGATATTTGGCATGTATCGACTATTCGTAGCAGCTTTAGCTTGTTAAACATATTACAATGACGAAAAGTCAGTCTTTTAGTGCATTAAAATGTATTTTTAGCACACAATAGTGCTGATGAATGCAGATCTTCTCATATGTAATCAACACAGAGCAAAGATACGCCAATGGGCAGTGAAGCTGAAAATACAAAACCTTCTCTGCTCTCTCTTATTCGAGATGTCATTTCTTCTGCAATTATTTGCTTGGAAAAATTACTTTTATGATGAATTCATTATCAAAAGGTTATTTTCTGTCAATGGCTAATTCTCACAACATTATTTAAAGGCTTTGAGAGCAACATACGTTTTAAAATATAAATATAACACATGAATCATCTTTCAGCAGCTTCAATTCACACTGTGATGCAGATACATGACGTACGTGTGTGCGTGTGTGTGTGTGTGTGTGTGTGTGTGTGTGTGTGTGTGTGTGTGTGTGTGTGTGTGTGTGTGTTTATAAAGTTACGTAATCACTCGGCTTCATTCATTCATGATTGATTGCAGTTTGACTGGATGTTAATTTACTAATCTGTTCGTTCTGGCATTAAATTGTGAGATGAAATGACTCAAACGCAGTCTTTAGTGCATGAACATGTGTTTTTATCACACAGTGGTGCTGATGAATCCAGATCTTCCCTGATGTCATTAAAACAGAAGGTTATAATCACAGAAAAGGGCATTGTAGCTTAAAATATGTCTATATATTATATAATGAGAGCATGGACTATAGTCTGATTTGTATGGAAGCTCCACGGGGACAAGGGAATGTGTGTGTGTGTGCGTGCACGTTCGTGAGTGTGCGTGTGTGTGTGTGTGCATGCGTGTCAGTTTGAAAAGTGATTAAACAATAAAGTATGAGTTCATGCAAATATGTGGGAAGCTTTATGGAGATTTCCTGTTTCACTTTGTTTAATATCATATAAAACTGATTGTCTTTGTGTTTTAAATTCACAAACACATTTTCACTTATTTAAATGTAAAATACTTCAGACTTTTAAAGAAAACAATGACATCTAAAGACATCGCCACCTTTCACGGTACCAGGGATGGACATTTTCCACTATTTTCTGACATTTTTGCAAACACAATTGTTCGAATATATCCAGGAAATGACAGTGATTGATAGTACCAGCCGTAGCTTGTAAGAAATTGCAATGGACATATCATTTATCTACAACACACACATCAAAGAGGTCAGTCTTAGGGCATCGACTAATTAAAAGCTCATTGAAATTCCCTAAACGAGTGCATATCTGAACCAGATCACACACATGTAGGCTGCTCTGTGTGATCTCCATTCCTTGAGCCCCCCTCTCTGAAGACCTCTGACTTGAAGGATTCATAAATGATCAAAATAGTAACAGACGTTTTCTCACTGACTCTTTCTGCAGGTTGGCGCTACTTTCCCTCACTGAGGAGAGGAATGCTTGTGGAAAGCCGGTGAAGTCATCTTGCTGTAATTATATTGTGTTTGACACAGCGAACACATCCTGGTTGGTCAGGAGGACGTTGTCTTATTCAAAAACACAACGCAGAGATTACTGTGACATGAAACCAGAGCAGTTTCACCTCCATCTCAGTGGCTTCTAGGAGAGGAAGTGAGGAACAACATGATCCGTGAGCAGAGTGTCAAAGGTTTCATTTATCTCAGTGGTTCCTCTGAAACCGGAGTGAATCCAGTTCTCACCGTTATAATTGAATATCCCATTCCTCGCAACCTTGATGTAAATAATATCCTGCTTATATTGTGTTAACAGAAACCCTTCAGACAGTTTGTTATCCTCACGGTCATCTGTATATGTTTCTTACTCTGTAAAGCTGGTTTATTTCTGTTTCTTCTTTTTTGAGATATTTTAGAATTGTTTATTTCTACTCTTTTCATTTCTACTTGTGCAATACCTTGTTTTGTTGTATGCTGCTGCAACAACAAATGTTTCCCATATTGGGATGAATAAAGTACATCTACATTATCTTATCTTAAAGGGGACCTATCATGCAAAATGCACTTTTGTACGTCTTTTATACATGAATATGTGTCCCCGGTGTTCCAGGGAACTCACCAAGTGTCAGAAAACACAACCCTCTCTATTTTCCTCCATACCCAAATCTCTAAAAAAGGGGCTGCAACGGATCTGATAAAAACTGATCCAGATTTGAACACTGTCCTGACGTCAGGACGGTGGCGCTACGGCTATTGGGCCAACTCCACCAATCAGGAGGAGACAGCCACGGCCATTGCCGTTCGAAAGCGCTGGAGACGCTGTAGTACATATGCCAGGCCTGTAGGTGGTGCTGTTCTCACTGAATCAACCCTTGCAAAAACAGAGCTATAAATTGTCAAATTGAGCAAAATGAGGCATGGCTAAAATGCATGATCTGTTTGGTATGTTGAAAAAAAAAAAGTATAAATATGCCTTATATAGGTATGGTCCTACACTATATTATTCAAATATAGCATGATAGGTCCACTTTAACATCGCTGGAGTAATATCAGCGGGAAATAACTGATATGTTGTTCATCAGTCGGTGCAGGTGCACGTTCCAGCGTTCAGCAGCAAGAGGAGTATTTGCTGTCCTCTGATTAACTCAAACAGGGAGCTGATCATGAGAGGCTGTTAGAAGAATACCGGTTCTTGTAGGTAATCATACATCCTGTCATGTATAAAATACTTTCTCAAAACCTCAAAATTCTTTATTTCTCTCAGAATTTGGACTTTTTCTCAAAACCTCAAAATCCTGACTTTTTCCTCAAAATCTCAAAATTCTGAATTATTTCAAATAAATCGTAAAATTCTGACTTTCTCTCAAGATCCTGACTTTTTTTCTAAAAATCTAAAATGTTTGACTTTTTTCTCAGAAAATCGTAAAATTCTGACTGAATTCAAAACAACTTCATCACATACAGAGCATCAACTAGTTCCTGAACAGTGTCCTTCACATGCTGATATCCAAGAGAGGGAGTTACACAGTCACAAGATGGAGGAATAGAAAGCAGTATTCAATGTTTACTTCAGATTAGCTCCACGTCAGAAATGATCATGCTTGTCATATGTCTATCTCCATAGAGGCTGAATCATCATGTTAATCACATAGCTATCATATGCCTCAAACAGTCCTGATGCTCTTCTAGGTAATCATACATCCTGTCATGTTCACAGCTACAGTTGGGATACCTTTGTTATCATGTTGCTCTCAGACTCTTCACTATTAGTATCAAAGTCAAGCTGCTCACCTCCACCAGCTGCATGAGGTTCTCGAAGTACTCCTCCTCGTCGATGGTGAGCTTCCCGTTGTGGTAGATGATGCGATAATGCTCCACCTTCCCATCGCAGCTGACACACAGGGTGTAGTCTCCGGGGTAGTTGGTGCTCTCTCTCACCAGGAACAGGCCCGTCTCCGGGGGGTAGAGCAGTCGCTCCGCCTGCTCACGGGTTATCTTCCCGTGGAACCAGCTGTGAGGGGAGAGAGGAGAATATGAATGATAAGAGAGAGGGGAATATGAATGATAAGAGAGAGGGGGGGATATGAATGCTCTGTTTTAGCAAGGGCAGATTCAGTGAGAACAGCACCATCTACAGGCCTGGCATATGTACTACAGCGTCTCCAGCGCTTTCGAACGGCAATGGCCGTGGCTGTCTCCTCCTGATTGGTGGAGTTGGCCCAATAGCCGTAGCGCCACCGTCCTGACGTCAGGACAGTGTTCAAATCTGGATCAGTTTTTATCAGATCCGTTGCCGCCCCTTTTTTAGAGATTTGGGTATGGAGGAAAATAGAGAGGGTTGTGTTTTCTGACACTTGGTGAGTTCCCTGGAACACCGGGGACACATATTCATGTAGAAAAGACGTACAAAAGTGCATTTTGCATGATAGGTCCCCTTTAAGAGAAACTGATAAATTATTCATGAACAAAGTTTGTCTTTTGTTATATTTAATAAAGTGATAAAGAAAGTCAATATAAAGTGAAATGGATCTGAAATGCAGCTTCATCCTCAGAGGATAGAGAAGTTCTGCTTACAGTCTCTCTATATCTTCATGAGAGGAAACAACTGGTCCTACATCCCATCATTAAACCATTAACCCCCCTCGTCCTTAACCATTTACACATCCACCTTTCACTTCCTTTGCCCTCCTGAAATGTAAATCCTTAACGTCTCTGTTAAACACATACGAGACTAAGATACCATTTAACAGAGTAAGAGGCAATCAGAGTTGAAGACTATATGTTTTAAATGATTATGTGATCATTTGACACGACATGGAGAACTATCTTAATCCAGCTTTATGGAAATCTAAAATTCTTCATCGTAGGTCTTCTGAGATCCAGAAAAGCTCCAAAACGTCATCGTTACCAGCAGGGAAGAGCTTCTAAAAAGAGATATGGCCAGAAATGGACTCCTCCTTTGATATGAAAGGCTGATATGTTACACAAAAACAAATATAGCATGTTTTACATAACCTAAAGTGAAGTGGTTCAAATGTTCCCTTTCCGGTTCATATATGTCAACAGCATTGTACTTTGTGTCTGTACGTGCCAGGGCGACACACACACACACACACACACACACACACACACACACACACACACACACACACACACACACACACACACACACACACACACACACACACACACACACCACACACACACACACACACACACACACACACACACACACACACACACACACACACACACACACACACACACACACACACACACACACACACACACACACACACACACACACACACACACACACACACACACACACACACACACACACACACACACACACACACACACACACACACACACACAGTGTTATCCGTGTACGGGACACCACGTGTCAGTTCTTGTGGAGAACAATTGGAAATGTTCATTTATTCTGCGTCAGTACTAACGACATGAAAAAGGCCTGAATGCTTCAACAGATCACACACTCTTCACTTCACTCGCTTTGCTGATGTGTGACTTCAACCAGGGAGGGAAACACTTCCACATCCTCTGAATGAGAAGTGAAAAACATGGAGTGACGGTAATGGGAAGCAGGGCGTCACGAGAAAGTACCTGAATACAAACAACAGGAAACATGGCACACACACACACACACACACACACACACACACACACACACACACACACACACACACACACACACACACACACACACACACACACACACACACACACACACACACACACACACACACACACACACACACACACACACACACACACACACACACACACACACACACACACACACACACACACACACACACACACACACACACACACACACACACACACACACACACACACACACACACACCAGGGCTGAGGCAGAGTAGGAAACTGACGCTGCAATAACAGGAACATGCAAAAAGTAAAGTGCTCAGACGAGAGATTAGAGACTAACTATGAGCTTCTTTAAAGAGTCCTCTCCTGCTGATGTTCAGGTGTATATCAGTATGTAGTGTCTCTACTTTAAAGAGTCCTCTCCTGCTGATGTTCAGGTGTATATCAGTATGTAGTGTCTCTACTTTAAAGAGTCCTCTCCTGCTGATGTTCAGGTGTATATCAGTATGTAGTGTCTCTACTTTAAAGAGTCCTCTCCTGCTGATGTTCAGGTGTATATCAGTATGTAGTGTCTCTACTTTAAAGAGTCCTCTCCTGCTGATGTTCAGGTGTATATCAGTATGTAGTATCTCTACTTTAAAGAGTCCTCTCCTGCTGATGTTCAGGTGTATATCAGTATGTAGTGTCTCTACTTTAAAGAGTCCTCTCCTGCTGATGTTCAGGTGTATATCAGTATGTATTGTCTCTACTTTAAAGAGTCCTCTCCTGCTGATGTTCAGGTGTATATCAGTATGTAGTGTCTCTACTTTAAAGAGTCCTCTCCTGCTGATGTTCAGGTGTATATCAGTATGTAGTGTCTCTACTTTAAAGAGTCCTCTCCTGCTGATGTTCAGGTGTATATCAGTATGTAGTGTCTCTACTTTAAAGAGTCCTCTCCTGCTGATGTTCAGGTGTATATCAGTATGTAGTGTCTCGACTTTAAAGAGTCCTCTCCTGCTGATGTTCAGGTGTATATCAGTATGTAGTGTCTCTACTTTAAAGAGTCCTCTCCTGCTGATGTTCAGGTGTATATCAGTATGTAGTGTCTCTACTTTAAAGAGTCCTCTCCTGCTGATGTTCAGGTGTATATCAGTATGTAGTGACTCTACTTTAAAGAGTCCTCTCCTGCTGATGTTCAGGTGTATATCAGTATGTAGTGTCTCTACTTTAAAGAGTCCTCTCCTGCTGATGTTCAGGTGTATATCAGTATGTAGTGTCTCTACTTTAAAGAGTCCTCTCCTGCTGATGTTCAGGTGTATATCAGTATGTAGTGTCTCTTCTTTAAAGAGTCCTCTCCTGCTGATGTTCAGGTGTATATCAGTATGTAGTGTCTCTACTTTAAAGAGTCCTCTCCTGCTGATGTTCAGGTGTATATCAGTATGTAGTGTCTCTACTTTAAAGAGTCCTCTCCTGCTGATGTTCAGGTGTATATCAGTATGTAGTGTCTCTTCTTTAAAGAGTCCTCTCCTGCTGATGTTCAGGTGTATATCAGTATGTAGTGTCTCTACTTTAAAGAGTCCTCTCCTGCTGATGTTCAGATGTATATCAGTATGTAGTGTCTCTACTTTAAAGAGTCCTCTCCTGCTGATGTTCAGGTGTATATCAGTATGTAGTGTCTCTACTGGGACATGTCTCCATGCTTTAATGTTCAAAAAGCTCTTTATTGTCCTCATACTGCCTGTGTCTTTTCACCCTCTGTCTGAAACCAGAGCCCAGTCTGCTCTGATTGGTTAGCTGGCCGGCTTTGTTGTGATTGGTCAACAGCTTAGAGATGTCCCAGCTCTTAGCCGATCACGTACTGTGTTCTGAAAGTAAACAAGGAGTCCAATGGAGCCACAACAACCTAATTAACAGACTAAAGGAAAGGGGAACCCCTGAACAAGCAGAATAGGGCCTCTTTAATTCAGGCTTTCTTCTGCGCTAAAAGCTGTTTAGAATTGTGCTAGTTTTCAAATGAAGCTGTTGCTCTACACGCCCCCCCCCCCCCCCCCCCCCCCCCCTCACCATATGTCTATAGGCTACTGATGGAAGGATTAGGCAGCTGCAATACACTGAGTGTGATTGATTGCAGATTAGTAACCTTGTGTTCGCCTGGTTTGGATCGTATGGTGCGTTCATGCTCCACACAGAAACCTGGTTTAACGGTATCTCTGTTCACATGATCAACAGTATCTGGGTAAATCACACTGTACATTTATATATTCAGTTTAATATTTCATCCCTCACATATATATAATAACTTTCTTTATATTTTGTTTTTGTTAATTTGTAAATTCAACATGTATATTTTCTACATTTTTGTTTATTTCTAGTCTTTTTAATTTGTATTGTACAATGCCATGTCTTTTTATGCTGCTGCAACACAAACATTTCCCAAATTGGGATCAAAGCAGTACTTCTTATCTTATCTTAGATGTGTATCAATTGTTTAAATACTTCTTATTCCCCCATGTCTACTATCGGTGTTTCTCTCTTATTCTGTTGTTGCCATGACACCTGAATTTCCCCACGGGGTCCATCTTATCTTAATATCAGTTATCTTCCACCTCTATGGTCTGAACCACAAATCACTGTCTTCCCATCCGTGTCCCCCTCGTTGAAAGGTCTTATAATCTGTGAACAGTCGTCTCTACAGGGTCTCTCTGTCCATCCTGGCCGGTGAGTTTGTGATAATCAACATCTATAATTGATTTAGCCTGTCTTTTCCGTCTCTCCCTCCTCTTCCTCTCCCTCCTCTTCCTCCTCCTCTTCCCCTTCAGACAGCAGCTTAATGTGGGCTTGAGTTGATTAGATCAGCGAGGCGATGGACAGCATGATCTAAACCCCCCTTTAATCCAGAGCATGGACACACACTTGCTGTTGTGGACACACACACACTTGCTGTTGTGGACACACACACACTTGCTGTTCTGAACACACACACTTGCTGTTCTGAACACACACTTGCTGTTCTGAACACACACACTTGCTGTTCTGAACACACACTTGCTGTTCTGAACACACACTTGCTGTTCTGAACACACACTTGCTGTTCTGAACACACACTTGCTGTTCTGAACACACACTTGCTGTTCTGAACACACACACTTGCTGTTGTGGACACACACTTGTTGTTCTGAACACACACTTGTTGTTCTGGACACACACTTGCTGTTCTGAACACACACTTGTTGTTCTGGACACACACTTGCTGTTCTGAACACACACACTTGTTCTGGACACACACTTGCTGTTCTGAACACACACACTTGCTGTTCTGAACACACACACTTGCTGTTCTGAACACACACACTTGCTGTTCTGAACACACACTTGTTCTGAACACACACTTGTTGTTCTGTTTGTATTTTACTGATTTTGTTCTGTATTTAATTTGCCATTTCCGGGTCACTAAGAGATATGATTTGCAAAACTGTACTTTTAATATAATATACTATGACCCCAAATAAATAATTGTTAAATAATAACAAAGAAAATGAATAAATGTGGTAAACAACTATGTGTTGGCAACAGGAAGGAGGAGCTTTCTTTAAGGGGGGGTGCTGGTATTTCTTGTGGATTTCTGCCACAGGGGGGCAGCAGTGAGAGTGAGATGAGGAGGGACTACTTTCTGCGTCTGGGTGTCATCCGGTCAGGGCAGAAAGGGGACAGAGGACTACATCTGAACCCTTATATAACCCAGAGACATCTGTTAGTGATTCACAACCAGGTCCCTGAGGAACCCAGAACCCACAGGAACCACTTCTGATGACGGAGAACAAACTAACTGTACAGAGAGCTTGGAGGCAGCAGAAGGACCAGAGTTTAGAAACAAGGCCTGTGGCATACAGCTGGAGATCTGAGGGTAGCAGCTTCAACATCAAAGCGATCCATATATACTTGACTTCATGGATTATAAACGACGGGACTGTATGTCTTCAGGAAAACAACATGAACAACCTTAATAACACATCAAACTGCACAATACTGGAAACGTTGATAGACTTTAAAGGGACGTATCAGGCTTTTAGTGCATGTAAATGGTCTGCTAAAGTGTGTTCTCTCCAGAGGGAGTTTCTCTCCCACACGTTCGATTGATTTAAAGGGGACCTATCATGCAAAATGCACTTTTGTACGTCTTTTATACATGAATATGTGTCCCCGGTGTTCCAGGGAACTCACCAAGTGTCAGAAAACACAACCCTCTCTATTTTCCTCCATACCCAAATCTCTAAAAAAGGGGCTGCAACGGATCTGATAAAAACTGATCCAGATTTGAACACTGTCCTGACGTCAGGACGGTGGCGCTACGGCTATTGGGCCAACTCCACCAATCAGGAGGAGACAGCCACGGACATTGCCGTTCGAAAGCGCTGGAGACGCTGTAGTACATATGCCAGGCCTGTAGGTGGTGCTGTTCTCACTGAATCAGCCCTTGCTAAAACAGGGATAAAAAATGTCAAATTGAGCAAAATGAGGCATGGCTAAAATGCATGATCTGTTTGGTATTTTGAAGAAAAAAAAGTATAAATATGCCTTATATAGGTATGGTCCTACACTATATTATTCAAATATAGCATGATAGGTCCACTTTAAATAGTAAATGATGAGATATCTCACACTGAGAGAGTCACTATCGTCTTCTTATAATCCTACAGTATCTCACATCACGTTAGCAATGACATTAAACCTACAACTACTCATCTGATCTTAAGTTTAAAGGGAATGTTTACCCCATAAAACATGAATATTTTCCCTTTAACCTGTAGTGTTATTATCAATCTAGATTCTCGATGATGCACGCTTCCTTCTGCGCAGTGATACGATTAGCAGGTATAGTTTGGTAGAAAGGAAATAGTTCCTACGTAAAGCTCCTCAAAACAAGCTTTACGAGTTATCCTGAGTAAGTGGATCATGGTTTCTGAAAAGAGGCAATGCTGTTGAGGTTTGCAAATGGGTTTTCTTGGCACTTTGAGCACCAGGCAGACATCTCTTCCAACATGCAGCATCTCACACCAAAACTATCTAAATCGATAACTAGCTCTGGAGGTTAGAGGACACATATGGATTTCTGATTATGGGGTGAACTGTCTCTTTAAAAACGTGTTTATTTCCACTTTGTTTCCATGTCTATGTGGTGATACTGCATGTTCTCTGCGTTCCTGTCTCGCTTCATGTGCATACGCCTCTCGTTCTGTTTCCCTCTGTCTCTGATATCTGCTGCTTCAAAGGCTCTGACTGAAGTGTGGAGCGCAGGAGAGGAAACACAGAACAAACCAAGAGATGGTAAAACATGGAGTCTCCATCTTTTGATGCTTTGCCTCACTTTTAAGATGCAACACTAGGTTTTTCCCTCGCTGCAGGGAACAGAAACGAGCGGGGCCACGACAACTTGGTGAAAAGGAAACAGAGCGTACGTGGAAAACATGTCGAAGACTCACAGCTCCACTGGTTGTGATGAATATACTGCAGATAATATACTCAAAACTCACCTTTTCACTCTTGCCTTCAACTCCTAATCCACTCACCCCTCACCTATCGCATATCCACTTCTTTAGCATCATTTTGCTATAGCTAAGTATTGTTAAGTTAAAGTGGACCCATCATGATATATTTGAATAATATAGTGTAGGACCATACCTATATAAGGCATATTTATACTTTTTTTTTTTCAACATACCAAACAGATCATGCATTTTAGCCATGCCTCATTTTGCTCAATTTGACAATTTATAGCTCTGTTTTTGCAAGGGTTGATTCAGTGAGAACAGCACCACCTACAGGCCTGGCATATGTACTACAGCGTCTCCAGCGCTTTCGAACGGCAATGGCCGTGGCTGTCTCCTCCTGATTGGTGGAGTTGGCCCAATAGCCGTAGCGCCACCGTCCTGACGTCAGGACAGTGTTCAAATCTGGATCAGTTTTTATCAGATCCGTTGCAGCCCCCTTTTTAGAGATTTGGGTATGGAGGAAAATAGAGAGGGTTGTGTTTTCTGACACTTGGTGAGTTCCCTGGAACACCGGGGACACATATTCATGTATAAAAGACGTACAAAAGTGCATTTTGCATGATAGGTCCCCTTTAAGTTAAGTTCCATACATTACGTTTGGACAAATGCTTATATAACTAAAACAATAAGGCTTTAAAAAGGGCAAAACATGTAAGGCAACATAAAGCCGTCATTTTTATATTTCAATCACAATGCATGAGTGTTTTAGGTGAGTGTGTATGTTTCTAAAACACACAGACGGACAGTTCTTTAAGTGTTTCTCTCTCGTTGTGAGTCCAATACTTACGGCATGAGGCTGAGCTTCCCTCCTGACTTCACCCCCTCTCTTTTCTGGACATAGTTAGCGGGGATTGTTCCCTCTCTTCCCACCGTGTTCCTCGCTCTGTACCAGTTAGGATCCTGAAACACAACAACAACAACAACAACACAGCTTTAAAAACTGCTGCTAATCATGGTTTCTATATGGCCTGCGCTCCCAAGATTTGACTCAGATGCTGGTTCCTAAAGTGAGAACAGAACTGGGTAAAAAAAGCTTTTAAATATGCCTGGAATAAAGTACAGAAGGAGCTGAAACTCTCAGTTTAATCACTTTGGGGGAATGTCGATGTGACTGCTCTTATTTCCCATCATTGAAGTCGTTTTAAAATTGTGCCAGTTTGTAATGTTTTATAATAGTTCTTGTATTTGCATATTGACTGGTTAATGTGCCGTTTCATTTGTGTTTCAGTTGTATTCATTCATGCTGCTCTCTTGGCCAGGTTGAAAAACTGATTTGAATCTCAATGAGACTTTTACCTGGTTCAATAAAGGATATATATATGGTTACCAAGTCACTCTATACATCAGGGGGGTCCTGAGGGCCACATACAGAAAGATATACGAACTGGAGGTAAGGTGTATCGCCTGATAAGTGAAGTTATAAGTCAGCAAAATCAATGAAAAGTGGGTAAATTATTCTTGATACTTGAAAATGCTTTAAGAAAAACAACAGCGTCCATCCCAGCTCTCTGTAGGGGTTACTTGATTCTGTTAGCAGCTCATCCCTTAACACAGAAGCCTCACAGTGATTTAATGAGAGGAAATATGAAGGGTCTATTTCAAGCTTGATATGTAAATAAGTTATTATTAACAACTTAAGATTTGTTAGAAATTGTTCTTAACTTTATCTGAATGAATTTATTTGAAAAGTGGGCTTACACGATATTTCATTTTTTTAAACATGTGTCTCTTCAGTGATGGTGATCTTATTTTAAACGTTTGTTTTCCTTGCTTCTTGTGTTATATATGTGTCCTTGTTGATGTTGCAAATGGAGCGGCTGTGATGCAAGTATTATCTTATACTGAACTGTTTAACCTCATGGAGAAGTGCATTCAAACTACGATGTCCCGGCCCGTTCCCGGAGTCATGATCATTCTGCCAGGACAGCATCTTTCAGTGCTTTATTTAATGCAAGGTAACCATTCCCCAGACTCACCCTGGTGGCTCCGATGATGGTGAGTAGATCTCCTTTACAGAAAGGCAGGTCCTGTTCGTTGGCAGTCTGGAAATTATACTTGGCTACACACTCTGTGCCACTGGACCACGGTGCCTGAAACAGAGGAGAGAGAGGGAGAGAGAGAGAGAGAGAGAGAGAGAGAGAGAGAGAGAGAGAGAGAGAGAGAGAGAGAGAGAGAGAGAGAGAGAGAGAGAGAGAGAGAGAGAGAGAGAAAGAGAGAGAGAAATCAATATTAAGGACAGCATGATGAGCTGAAGGGAGGTATTAACAGAGGTGAGAAGTAGTGCAGTACAAATACTTTGTTAATGTACTTAAGTACATGTTTCTGGTATCAGTACTCCACTACTTATTTTTCTGACGACTTTTTACTTTGACTTCTTACATTTTGAACACAAATACCTGTACTTTCTACTTCTTACATGTTGAACACAAATACCTGTACTTTCTACTTCTTACATTTTGAACACAAATACCTGTACTTTCTACTTCTTACATGTTGAACCCAAATACCTGTACTTTCTACTTCTTACATGTTGAACACAAATACCTGTACTTTCTACTTCTTACATGTTGAACACAAATACCTGTACTTTCTACTTCTTACATGTTGAACACAAATACCTGTACTTTCTACTTCTCACATTTTCCAAACAGGCTGGTTCCTTTAGTTTGAATGTGTGTTTGGTGGCGTGATCATTATTATTTAGAGTCATTGCGTGCCTATTGATTTGAACACGATCCGTGTATCCATCATTTCCTGGTCTTCTCTAAAGAAGAGGGACCAATGAAAACGTTGTCATGTTGCCGTTGTTCAGCATGGAAACATTCATTAGCTAACAATGACATTATTGTTCTATTCATATAAAGGGAGGTCAGGTACTCTTTAAAACAGCTGCTAGTTATGGGTACTTTTTACTGAAGTACATTTCAAAGCCCTCTTTACTTTTACTTGAGTAAAGAAGTTTAGTCAGTACTTCTACTTTTACCAGAGTATTTTTAAACACGAGTATCTGTACTTCTACTTGAGTAAAGAATGTGTGTACTTTTGCCATCTGTGGGTAATTGAGACGGACATGTTGCAGGAACTTAGATTCACATATAGATGCAGAGTTTCAATCGGCTTTTGTTGCAAATGTGTTTATTCGGTGCAAAGAACTAAAAGAAACTCAATAAAACTAATATAAATGTCAATCATAATACAATGTTTTTTTTTTACTCTGTGGACAATTTACACTACTGTACATGCTATCATCATATGCACATTAAACACAACTGGTGTCATTTATTTCACCTCACAAAAAGCAACTGATGTCAAAGCAAAGTGTCACTCTGAAGTACAAATGGAAAATGACAGCTAGGCTGCGGACATCTGTTCAGATGGGTGTGTGTGTGTGTGTGTGTGTGTGTGTGTGTGTGTGTGTGTGTGTGTGTGTGTGTGTGTGTGTGTGTGTCAGGTCTTTGAATAACTCGCTCCTCCTATTTCTATTCTATTTTATTTGTATTTACAACCTCCATGTAACGGGAAGCTGCAGTCACATTTTCTAAAAGCCAACAACGTGTGTGTTTGCTGAAAGGAACGTGGCACTATGGCAATAACATAAGAAGTGCTTTATTGATCCCAATGTGGGAGTGGCTGGAGATGCAGCAGCATAACAGACAAGGCATTGCACATAAGAGACATTAAAGGGGTAGAAATAAACAATTCCAAAATGTAAACATCTCAAACTGAAATAAAGGTGCTATATAAATAACCTGTGAATCTGTTCAGTGGGAATACATTGTAGAAATAACCAAAGTGTGTTACTTACGAGCACCCCAGACATGATGGAGTTGGGCAGGTTTCCTCAGACAGGAAGCGCTCACTGTTCAGCTACAACCATCAGAGCTGGAAGAAGAAATACAAGCAAAGCATTAGAATCAGATTATAGTAGACGCTGAGGCTGGAACACGTCTCGAGTCGTCCTCAAAACATCTTCATCCTGCCGTCACAAGATTTAAACATTTAGTTTATCGTCTGAATATAGTGAGGAGAGTTTCATAGTCAAATGAAGTTTCATATTTTTATTTTTGCAATCAACGAAAAACCTGAAATGACCGTAACGCTACTCGACATGAATCCATGTTTATCTCGTTGGCGCCGTAAAGACATGTCATCGAATATATCTTTATTGTCATCATACGAAGTACAACGACATTTCTTTGGCAACTCTCACTGCCGTCACAAATAGACACAATAAATACATGAGAGTGGTAGAAGCAGAGGGAGTAGCGATGACAATGCAACGAGATAACATTCAATGTCAATGTGCACATTTATATTTACAGTCTAAATATGTATCAGTCACATAGCCATACGTATTTCTAAATAGTAGTGGTTGCAGTCTTTGAGGGGCGGAGGTGTGTTAATGAATGTTCACAGTTGTCACATCTGACACGTTGTGACCGATCGATCACGTGTTCGGTCGATTCGTTGGACTTTTTTGTGCTTTCCTTGCCGGTTAAAGTGAGCGTACTTGGCTCTGTGTTTAGTGTCAATGTGCCTCTTTAATTTGTACTACTTGGGCTGTGAGAAACGGCCGATATCAAGACGCTCAGTCACAGGTGAGATGAGATGCATTGTGGGACATGTCGTTTATGGACACTGTACTTAAAGGGGACCTATCATGCAAAATGCACTTTTGTACGTCTTTTCTACATGAATATGTGTCCCCGGTGTTCCAGGGAACTCACCAAGTGTCAGAAAACACAACCCTCTCTATTTTCCTCCATACCCAAATCTCTAAAAAAGGGGCTGCAACGGATCTGATAAAAACTGATCCAGATTTGAACACTGTCCTGACGTCAGGACGGTGGCGCTACGGCTATTGGGCCAACTCCACCAATCAGGAGGAGACAGCCACGGCCATTGCCGTTCGAAAGCGCTGGAGACGCTGTAGTACATATGCCAGGCCAGTAGCTGGTGCTGTTCTCACTGAATCAACCCTTGCTAAAACAGAGCTAGAAATGGTCAAATTGAGCAAAATGAGGCATGGCTAAAATGCATGATCTGTTTGGTATTTTGAAAAAAAAAAAGTATAAATATGCCTTATATAGGTATGGTCCTACACTATATTATTCAAATATAGCATGATAGGTCCACTTTAAGTAAAGCGGAATATAACTTTTAATTATTGTATTCTTTGCCTTGATGTTGACGTGCTCTAAACCGGGTGAATCGCTTCAGAAGTGTAAGAAATAATGTTTTAGCGGCTGGTAGAAATGCTCAGGGACATGCCACAGGTTAAAGAAAGACTTCAATGTTAATCACTGACTTTAAAGAATAGAACAATACACAAATATAACCTACACAAATAATACAGCAGTCACTCAACAGTGCAGTGAATGTCACACGCTATCTGAAAGCCTGGAAATGGGAGATGAGTAAAAAGCAGCTCTCTGCCAACTCTGTCCAGCATCTTCATTCTGCTTCCAATCACCAGTGTGCTAGAGGTGACCTTGAGCGAGTGTGTGAGCTGCAGAGAGAGAGACGTGAGAGAGTAGATGTGTCTCAGGGTGTGTGTGCCTACAGAAGAGCATGACTGCAAGTGGGTTAAAGAATGTGTAGTATGTAGGGTGTGTGTGTCTATAATAACCCGTATCTGTGGTGTGTGTGTCTCTCTGAGGGCCTGATAGTGGAAGTGTGTGTCCCTCCTCTTCCTCCACACACACATTAAAGGGTTCCTCGCCCTATTTGTACTCCACTACTTCCCAACAGCCAAGAGAACAGGAAGTGTCTGACGTTTATTTTCCAGACATGTGTACGAGATAAGGAGGGGCTTCAGTTGGGAGTCCAGAGTAAACAAGGGTACTCACTTCCTTTAGAGCGACTACAGCCAATATGTAAGGGACGGCAGAATATGTCAAAGTGACAAGGCTCAATACATTGTCACTTTGACTAAATTCATAATAAACCCAAGGTGGTTTTCAGCTTATAACTATTGCACTACCATAAACAAGTACAAGTAAAAAACAACAGACAATTTAAAAGCAACAATCTACAAGATGTCATACGCTCAGGAGAAGAGGTGGGGTTTCAGAAGGAAAGCAGACTCTGCTGCATTCACTCTGAGACAGATCCCTGCGTAGGGATTACACTTTAAATAATAATGAAAGCAATGTTATCTGTAGTTTCCGTGCAGGACCCTGGAGCCTCTCTGCTCAACAGAAAGGAAAGGATAGAGCTGGCAGAATAAAAACAAGCCGCCTCGTTAGAAACGTCTCACGGGAAAACAGACCGTTCATAAACAACTCAAAGGCTTCCACCTTTAGGAGATAGCAGTGAATAAAAGATGACTGAAGTATCGGGGTGCAGGGAGTTATGATGCAGATTATTGATACTCCAACAGTAACTTCAAAATGATTTGTCAAGGTTAGATGTAGTTTGTGTATTTATTTAGACTTTTTCTTTTTCAAGTCAAAGTCAACTTTATTGTCAATCTTTCAGTTTGTGTGTACAGACAGAGAGGTCGAAATGCCCTTTCTCACAATCCAGAATACAAAAACTACTAGGGATGCTCCGATCGAGTGGGCGGGGCCTATGGGGCCTTCCATTTAAAGTGATGTTTAAAACTCAGTTAATGGGGCTCATTCTCTGGCGCTTCCACAAACAACAACCAACATCATTATTACATTCAAATGAAGTACATTATTCAAGTTTACATTAACTTTGGATAATAACACGGGAGAAATGAGCGGAGGCGCTCTCTCCCCCTCTCTCTCTCTCCTGACAGCCTGTCAGTATCTCCTGCAGCTCACTGATCCAGTAATGAGTGACCCGACAGTGAAGAATAAACATATTTATAACTAGTTTAGCTTGTTCCAGAGGTAGATAAAATAGCTAAGTATGTTAGGTCTAACTCTTACGGCCCGTCCACACAGCGGCGTGCGTTGAAGCTTAAACGCTTCTGCCCATTCACTTTGAATGGGGTGACGTCACGTTTCGCCGAACTGCATTGTAGGAGCGAAGCGTAGCTTCAAAAGCGTTGCTCGCTGCAAAAGTTGAGCAATGTTCAACTTTTGAAGCTTCGGCGGAAGCGTCAGCCAATCGAATCATATGCCAGTACAAGCTCTAGCCAATCAAACCGCGTGCTTGTGTGTCCGGGGCGGGAGATTCATGTGATTGGTTGTTGGTCGAGTTTCAGCCCCCCCCCGCCGGCAAGCTTCAACGCACGCCGCTGTGTGGACGGGCCGTTCGTGTGTGTTCTGCTCCGCTCACCGGTCCGTCACAGTGGAGCTGCAGGATTTCTGCTTCACACACGTTGCATATCGCTATTTTATTGTCATTTTCGGACACCTTAAAATACTGCCAGACTAGTGAAGCCATTTTGGCGAGCTTGTTTTGCCGCGCACAGAGAACAGTGTCATGTATTTTACGTCGCCATTTTACGTCATGTGATCGCCTCTCGAGATCGGCATTTTTAGAGAGCACCGATCGATCGGCAGACGAGGAGTATCGGCCGATATCGATCGGCAGCCGATAGATCGGAGCATCCCTAAGAACTACAAATATATATAAAAAGATGTATTTACCTATATGTACACATCACGTAGGAATACAAGATGATAGGTCATCAAGAAAATCACACACACACACACACACACACACACACACACTACAACACACACAACACACACACACACACACACACACACACACACACACACACACACACACACCCACACAGCACACACACACACACACAAACACACACACAACACACACACACACACACACACAACCACACACAACACACACACACACCCACACACACACACACACACACACAACCACACACACACACACACACACACACACCACACACACACACAACACAACCTCTTGTAAGTACAGCCCATGAGAGCGTCTGCGTCTCTGGAGGATGGTTTGACGACAGAGTAATGGCACATCATTCACATTTCTACACACTGCCAGGAAACTAAGCTTAAATCACGTCTTTAGAGTGGCAGCATCCGCCTCTCGGGTCGCTGTAAATGCAGCAGTCTCTTGATGGAGTTCTGAGCTCCCTATCTTCCTGTTTCTAATGGAGTATCGGGCTCCACTTTAGCCAGCTCTCATTAGACGACACTCGGCTAAAGAATCACAACGCCAGCTTTCTGTGGATAACGCTGGAAGATAAACCACAGAGAAGGATCTGTGTCACTCTGAAAGTACTGGATGTGGAGGAAACCCTTAAGAGAAACTGATAAATGATTCATGGACAAAGTTTGAAAGATTAAGAAAGTCAATATAAAGTGGAATGGATCTGAAATGCAGGAACAGAGCTACTTCATCCTCAGAGGAGTTGAACATAACATTTTGACATTCGTATGTGTTTATTATTTTACTCCTATTGTGTCATTTTATATTGTATTCATGAAAGGAAACAACTGGTCCTCCATCCCATCATTAACCCATAACCCCCCCCCCCCCGTCTTTAACCATTTAAAACCCCCCTTTTACTTCCTTTGCCTCCTGACATGTAAATCCATATGTCTCTGTTAAACACATACGAGACTAAACACTTGAACAGAGTAAAGCCCTATGAGCTGCATGTGCTGTATTCAAACTGCTATATATATAATTAAAGCTTTATTATGATTATTATGATACTTTGAAACACCACAGAGTTGGTAAAGCAGCGTGTGATGGCAGGGAAATTAAAGGGGGATAATAATGTGGAAATGTGACCCACTGAATATGCAAATAGAGGGAATAAGCTGACAGAGTGCTACAGGCGCTCTGATTGGACGGCAGGACGATTCAAACTCAAATGACTGGAGGCTGCTGTGAGGTAATGGGATATAGATATACTTGAATACTATTGAAGTGTGACTTTGTAATGATGC